CACTAGGCTCACTTCTGCTCTAGTTGCTCTTTCATCAACTTCAAAATAAAACCATACTTCCTAATTGTGACACTAGGCTTTTCGAATCTGAATCATAATCAGACATCTCTGTAGAGCAGGAAACAATATATCTTTAATTAATGCTCTGACAGTTTCTGCGGTGTAATTCCTGTTTATACATACACACCGAGATACTTGCTACTTGCCAACACGTCTGAAGTTTTAATGTACTTAACTCAGACAAAGTCAGAGTATCAATTAACTGTTTCCTTTGGCATACATCACGAAAATAAGTGTACTACGAGAGAGTGATTATGGGAAACTATAATCCTAATAGGAATTTTAGTGTTGGATATCGTAGAGTTAGGACTCAAACAGTATTTCCATCTCCTTGGATCAAGAGGCTCAGTCAAGTACATACATCCACCTGATATGTTGTACAAGACTAAACTCAAAGTCTTCAGATTAGGAAAGTACTCAGAGTGTTTGATCATAGAGTTACTAGTATGTCAAACTGGACAATTTCTCCAACACCTTGGATCAAGAGCATCCCGGACAGGCCCCCATTTGTTACAAAAAACGCGATTCTAAAAGCTTAGAGATCTCCAGTGAATACTAGAATGGACTGCCCTTCTAGCATCCAGCCTGTTACTAGGTTTTCGTAACAAGTAGTCAGTATCCTTGTCCAATTATCCATTAAAATTCAGTATTGTTCAATAGCGCTTTAGGATTACAACTGGTAGGCTACTAACTAGAGAAATTAAAATTTAATAAATTTATTAAGTCTAGAGGTATATTATCAAAGTAAATTAATCACAGCAATCAAAATAAAATCAATCTCTCGAGTTCAATATTATTGTGCTGAAAGCACATATCACATTTATAATTCTAAGTACCGTCAGGTACATTAACATTTAATAAGATATTACAAATATGTACAAGTAAGTGTGTGTATGCGTGAAGTGCTCTTAAGTAGTTAGCTATGTCTCAAGACTCGAATAAGACTTAAACAAGTGACTGACAAAGTCCTCAAATAAACTAACTTCTTGACCGACTGGCAACCCGAACAGTCTGCTTGAACAACAAAGAATGCAAACCCAAAGCAAATGCAATATCAAGCGACTGCGACACAGAATCAGAACTGGGAAATAATAATAACGACACTAAGTAGGACCATCAGCAGATCCTCCACAAAAGTTACAAAACTCCCTACTACTGAATCTATGTTCAGCATAGAAAAACGCGACTGTGACAATACACAAAACCAGTACAAAATTAGGTCAGAAGCTATAGCTAAGGACCTGAGATGTTCAGAGTGTCTAAGCGACACACAACCTCAGTACAACGTCGAAAATCACTAAGTCTATACAATGTCCTGAGAACAGAGTTCTACAGAACTAACAAGAATAATGAGACAGACAATCTGTCCAACCACCAAGCGAGTCTAGAGCAGACTGAAAACTTCACGAGAGGTGAGGACACCCCCCTCGATCACGTGATAGCTACGTGGACAACTGCAGCTCAGAAGCCGGCAGTATAACGAGCGACAAGCGATAATTACAGTAGTTTGACAATCAAGACTAACTGAGCACATATTATGTACATCCTAACAACATAAGCTACGTCAAATAACAATATAAGGCAATACATTTGCGATTTAGCTATTATCGCAAATATAAGCAATATAAAATTATATGAAAAGGTAATATACATTACATATATACATAATAATCATTGTAACCCATTCAGGGGTTGCAACACTATGTTACTGACACTTGTGTGTCTCATTTTGTTGCTGATACTTGTGTGTCTCACTATGTTTACTGACACTTGTGTGTCTCACTATGTACTGACACTTGTGTGTCTCACTATGTTACTGACACTTGTGTGTCATACTATGTTGCTGACACTTGTGTGTCTCACTATGTTACTGACACTTGTGTGTCTCATTTTGTTGCTGATACTTGTGTGTCTCACTATGTTACTGACATTTGTGTGTCATACTATGTTGCTGACACTTGTGTGTCTCACTATGTTGCTGACACTTGTGTGTCTCACTATATTGCTGACACTTGTGTGTCTCACTATGTTACTGACACTTGTGTGTCTCATTTTGTTGCTGATACTTGTATGTCTCATTATGTTACTGACACTTGTGTGTCTCACTAGTTACTGACACTTGTGTGTCTCACTATGTTACTGACACTTGTGTGTCATACTATGTTGCTGACACTTGTGTGTCCTCACTATGTTACTGACACTTGTGTGTCTCATTTTGTTGCTGATACTTGTGTGTCTCACTATGTTACTGACACTTGTGTGTCTCACTATGTTACTGACACTTGTGTGTCTCACTATGTTACTGACACTTGTGTGTCATACTATGTTGCTGACACTTGTGTGTCTCACTATGTTACTGACACTTGTGTGTCTCATTTTGTTGCTGATACTGTGTGTCTCACTATGTTACTGACACTTGTGTGTCTCACTATGTTACTGA